TTTGAGACAGGGTCTCCCTGTAGCCCCAGTTAGCCTGGCATTCACTATGTAGACTAGGCTGGTCTCAAACTCACAGAAATCCACCTGCCTCTGCCTCCCGAGTGCTGGGATTAAAGGCGTGCACCACCATGCCCAGCTGACATGAAATATTTTTGTTACCTCAAAAATGTCTTGTGTTTTTGATGCAAAGTCCTGATGACTGTCTGATTTCTGCTCATTCTTTTTGTCATTGTGATCTGCAAAGAGATCATCCTCATCTTCCAGGAGGGGAAAAGGATTTGGTTTCTTTGCTGGTCTGGGTTTGGCAGACTGGAAGAGATCATCGTCACTACTGGCCTCACTAAGGGCTGGAAACAGGGGGCTCTTCTCTTTACTTCCTCCTGGCAAGTGGGCCGGGGTCTCTGCTGCCTTCCCCTTGACTTTTGCTCTCTCCATGGACTGTGATCCTATGCTTTTGGAAAAGATGTCCCCAGAATCAAATAGGTCAGCTTCATTTCTGGTCTGATGCAGAGACTTCACAAAGGGGCTTCTGTCCACTGCAGACACAGTACCAGCTTCCCAAGGTGGGGTGGCTATGGCCATGGCCTCCTCAGCACTGATTTCTCCACCTGCGGCTCTCGGTTGCAGCTGAGGGTGATGGCCACTTGGTGAAACAGGACTACCTGCCAACTGCGCAGCAGCACCTCTGGGGACACACACGTCCTCAGCGTCACTGGACTCCTGGGCTGCCAGCCTCCTGGCCGCTCGGGTCTGCGGTCTACGCTTTCCTCTAACTTTAACACGACTCTGCAATGGCAAAAACACACACCTTGATCTGATCATTAAAGTGTTCAAAGCTAATACAGGTAAGACTCACTGACTCAAAAATACTCTAACGGTATCTGGTTTACTTCAATTAGGATATCCCCCAGGGAAAGAAAAGGTGATTTAAAATTTCTAAAGGAATTAACAGCTCCATGGCCTCCAAAAAACTGGAATCCTTCTTAATCCTTTTATGTTTCCTTTATGTAATTCTTTAAAGTTTTCTAATTTTACAAGAAAGGCTTTGGTGTTGCTGGAACCACAGAAGGCAGGCATACTGGTGTTCTGTGACCCACAACACATATAGACACCCCACTGCCGCCTCTGTTCTTAATTCAAAGGCAGGTACCTTACAAAGCGCAACTGGTAGGGATTCTGGCACCAACTTTATCAGGCTCTAGGAGCAAGGAGATTATGAGACAAGAAAAAAAGGGAGGTGTCTATGGAGCTATTTTCTCCAAGTCAACAAACACTGATTCAAGTACTCAATATTGAACACAGAAATATGGCTCAGGAGCGACAACCCTTAGTAAAACCCCCAAACACAAGTCTCTTAATAGCTATGATTTAAGATTTCTGCTATTTTCCAAAATATAAAAGGCAAGTTTTGCAGGCTGGGAGTGGTAGCACATGCCTTTAGTCCCAGCACTCAGGAGGCTGAGGCAGGTGGATCTTTGTGAGTTCAAGGCCATCCTGGTCTACATAATGAGTTCAGGCCAGCTGAGGCTACAGGGAGACCCTGTCTCAAAAAAACCAAAAAAAAAAAAAAATCAAGCTTTGCTTTGAGAAGATACAACCTATTTTGGACCAAAAAACTGTCTGCCTACTTCAAGGCAATATCACAATTTTCAGAGTTTGGGGGAGTGTGATGCATGGGGTAGCTGAACTAGAGGGTAGGTATGGTCAATGTATACATGCATGAAATTGTCATGAATAAAAGCTCCTAAGAAATACCCATAATTTTAGGGCATGTCCAATTTAAACTTAAAAGTCAACAAAAATGGTAACTAACAAAAAGGTGTTTTATTTTACAGGGAAAACAGATCTAAAAACACTAAAAATATTAATGTATCTTCCAGGGACAGGTCATCCTGGGTCTGTTGCTGACTTAAAGATCTGCTGAGATGTGGGCTGGAGAGATGGCTCAGCGATTAAGTGCACTGACTGCTCTTGCAGAGGACCCAGGTTCAATTCTCAGCACCCACATGGCAGCTACGAACTATCCTTAACTCCAGTTGCTGAGGAATCCGAAACCCTCTTCTGACCTCTGCGGCACTGCACGACACGGGTACATTCACATACATGCAGGCAATATGCTCATACACATAAAATAAAAATAACAAATATTAAAAAAAAGATCTGCTAAGATTTCATAAAGAGAGATCAGATAGAAAAAGAAAACTTACTAAAACACAAGGGAAATTTCAAAGAACAGAGTCCACAGGGGATCACCTTTGAAAAGCTTTCTTAGCTGGAGAAGAACTACTTGGGGTCTCAGAAAAGGAGCCCAAGCCAAGGTCGGAGGGGAAGAGCATGCAACTGAGGAGCTGCAGGCAGGAGAGAGCACTCCAGGAGAAGCAGCATGGCCAGTGGGCAGTGACAGGACCTAGCACATGATTAGGGGGTCTGGTGGGACTGGAGTTCAGGCTTCAAGTCCTGAGGAATCCGTGGGAAAGCTGGAACAGAAGCAGGCAACGGAAAAGCAGAATTGGGCAACTGGAGAGAAGCAGAGGGGAGGAGAGACCACGCAAGACGACGTGCCTCCTTCAGATGGGGAGGGAAGTTGGCATGCAGGCTGGTCTAGAAAGCAGCAGCAAACTGGCCTGGTTAAAAGAAAAGCAAGCAAGCAAAGACAGTTTCATCACCTTGTTTGCACTGTGCAAGGTGTCTGCCTGGGCTGGAAGATCAAAACTCACGCCCGCCTCTCCACTCCCGGGAAGAGCGGGGACACTTTCCAGACCGTGGCTCCTTCCCGGTTCAGATGAAGGAAAAGCTAATTCAGGTGACACAGGCTTCGCTCCCAGGATCTGCAGCGGCGCTGTAGGCAGCAAGGCTGCTGGGTTAATTGCTAAATTTGCCTAAAGAAGAAAAGCGGACTCAGTATTTGTTCTTAAATACGGGAGTCGATTATCATTTCTGTGACACATGATGTCTGTGGTGCGCACATTGAAAATACAAGAGAAGAGCAACGTGGAAAGATCACCTGATTTTGTCTCAGTGGGGCAAGTGCCTGTGGCCACCACTGGGATCAAAGGACATTAAAGAGGTAGCACATGGAAAGCGACAACTAGGTGGGGTGGAGGGTGCGGTGGTGGCAGGGCAAGAGATGATAAAATGTTTGGCGGCAGCTGAAAAACGTGAAAATACACAAGTTTTATAGGTGCCACAGGCAGGCAATGAAGAGTCCAGATGCGTTATAATTACTTGTATTTTCCCGATCCGAGTGGATGGCTCTTTGGTTTTAAATGGAGCGAGACCTGATGAATCCTGTGTGAAATTAAATTCAGTTAAATATCCATTGGGGATATACACTCATGTCCCTAAGGAAATCTGTAATGGAGTTCGGCTGTCCCCTTCTGTAGTTCTCTAACTTCCCCTGGAGCCTCACAGCACTATGCTTGGTAGCATACTCCACTGATGTCTCCTCCTCCACCATGGAGGATGAAGGCTGTCAGATCAGACCCAGAGTAAAGGGAGACATAGACGACAATGAGTAAGACATGTTAGAGCTGTGGCTTCATCAGAACATCATCATGATGGTTATCCAACATTGCACATGTCGAGATGTACACACACTCTCCCACAGCCTGATGCACAAGTTCTAAAAGCAAAAGTATCTGAGTTCCAGGATGAGTTAAGACGTGTGCTAATCCAAGTCCCTTATCTTCCTAGCTTAGGACACAGGCACCTCAGTGAAACATCCGGAGACAACTAACACTGTCTTGGACTTTTCTTGTGGAGAAGGTCCACAATGCCGTAGGAGAATACTCCTGAGGAGGGAAGCCTGAGAGCAACCATCTTGGAAGAAGTGACACTGAGAAGCAAGCAAGGAATTAGATGTCATCTGTACGAACTCTAACACAATTCCGCTCTAAGGAAGACCAGAGTGGGAAGTGGAGGATCTAGTGAAAAATGATTTTTACCCCAGCTTAACATCAAATTGGAAACTGAATTTGGAATTGAATCTAAACATAATGATTAAATACAGAATCATGAGTTTCTCATGTATGGAGAAAGTGGGGCTTAACGAGAGACAAAGGAGAACTGTCAGCTGCCATCTGCTCCTTAACTAAAAGAGCTCTGAGGAACTTGGGTCTAGCCAACAGGACTATTTACAGTAGGATGCCCACATCGCTGAAGATCAGCTCTCACCTGCGGTGTGTCTGGTTTCCATATGCCTTTTTCTTTGCTACCTTGAGTGGATTCAGGATACTTCTGGTTCTTTAAAGAAGAAATAGGGTGGTCTTTTTTCACAACTCTCTTTTTTTCTGGTACCTTCAAAAGAAAAAGAATACAAAAGTCTGTCACATATCTTCAAACTTTTAAACAACAGTGTGAAAAAGGAGTTTGGTCTTTGGGTTTTAGAAGTCCAATCTCAAATGGGGGGCGTTAAACTAGTCCAGTGGTAGCATTTCAGAAATGACATCCCCTGGGCTGTTACTGTCTAGGGCTGAGATACAGCTCAGTGGTAGAGTGCTAGCCAAGAATGCACAAGGTCTTGGGTTGAATGCCCAGTACAGTGGGAAAAATGTGACTTACACAGGAGTCCTTTCTGTGATAAAAAGAAAAAGATAGAGAAAACTTAGTGTGGAAGGGAAAAAATGTCATGAACAGGCTGAGACTCAGATTTAAAGCTCTGAACCCGAAAGGCACAAAAATATAGTCCCTATTATATGCAATGGTCCTTCAATAAACTCAAGTTACACAATCTGCATCAGTTAACATTAGGGAACAATATGAACTACAAGTCACATCCTGTGCACACACCACTGTGTATTAGCTGTTTGTTTACAGAATGCACTGCAATTCCCCATGAATTTTCCCTCATCCTGTAACTGTCCCCAAGCCTGAGAATAAACAGCTGATACCACAGGCGGAGTCTTGGCAGAGCTGAAAAGATCATCATCTTCATCATCACCAAACAGGCTCCCACCACTTGGCACTGACAACTAAGAGAGAGAAGATGCAGATTAAATAGCCACAAGTAAAGCAATTCCCAAGAGCTAGGTGACCCACAGGAACAATCTCTCACATGGTCCCAAAGTCATAATGTGGAAGCCACTGAGAACTAACCCTGGGTTTTTTGGTGCCAGCAAAAAGATCAACATCTGGGTCATTGTCTTTTTGAAGCTGGTGGCTGAAAAGGAGCTCTTCATCCTGGAAGACACCTGTGCTCTTAGGGCGGCCATCACTATTGGGACCCTGGGCAAAAGAGAAGTTCAGAAGAGATTGTATTTGTAAGGATTCACTATACAAATAAATTAGAGCATAAGATAGATGGACACAACAGAGATGTCCCCTGGTAAAAGTGACCATCACCTATGTGCCAATCAGAAGACTCACCAATAGGATTCTATAGACCTGTCAACAATAGTGGTGAAGCCGGGCGTGGTGGCGCATGCCTGTAGTCCCAGCACTTGGGAGGCAGAGGCAGGTGGATCTCTGTGAGTTCAAGGCCAGCCTGGTCTACATAGTGAGTTCCAGGACAGCTGGGGCTACAGGGAGACCCTGCTGCAAAAAGACAAAAAAAAAAAAATAGTGGTGAGTAAATGAGCTATCAAAAAGTAAAGAGTAAGGGGCTGCAGAGCTGGCTCAGTGGTTAAAAGCATTGGCTGCTCTTGCAGAGGACCTGGGTTCAACTCCCAGCACACACATGGTGGCTAACAACCATTCCTAACTCAAGTTCCAGGGGATCCGATGACCTCTTCTGACCTCTGTGGACATTGCATGACACAGGTGTACTTATATAAATGCAGGCAATACACTCATTCACGCACACAAAAAGTGATGAGTAAGTCTGTAAACAGATAACATATGAATAATCTTTCAATCTTCATGTAGTGTCTGAACTTTTCCTCTCACAAAACAAAATAGCCAATCTAGTAACTCCAAATGAAAAGGAGAGGCACTCTAGCGATAAAGCCAAACCATACAGTGTTCCCTCTGTCATGCTGAAGGGAAGGACAACACAGAACCCAAACCATGGAAGAGTGGGTGTCAGGCATGGCCACCTAAGCTGCTGGCACCTTAGTTCAAAGGTCTACCCAGTAAGCCTTCCACCTGTGTCCATCCACTTTATGCCCTAAACAAGTTCTTTTTGTCTGCTATGGTAACTGGCTTATTAATATTCCAGATCTGAAACTCTAAAATTCATTCCTATTTGTTCTTTAATACCACAATCTAAATGAAAAAAAAAAAGATTAAAGCAAATTTAAATCCCAATTTTGAAAAATTAAATCATAGCAACAATTAACCAATTATTATTATTGATACATAAGAATGACTAATTCAGACATGGTGGTTCATGCCTGTAAACCCAGAGGACTGTGAGTCAAGGCCAACATGAGCTATACAGCTAAAGCCTACCACTACTCCAAAAAAGTTTCAAACCATGGAAAAATAGTACAAAAACAAATTGAAATTTTGAACCACAGGAAAAAAGTACAAAATTAGGCACATTATAAGCCTAGGAGAAAGTATACCATTCATCATAGTTGTATACAGCTCTCATTTATAAACAGGATTATGGACTGGGATACAACTTAGTGGCAGAGTTTCTCCTTAGCAAACCAAGGGCCTGAGTTTGATTCCCAGCATCGCCACAATGAATATATTAATCAATGAATTAAAGAATATAAATAGGGCTATACTACTGACATAAAAATTCACATAACATTTTGCAGACATCACTATGGACTATCTCTTTAGCTTGAAATAAGAAGATGGAGGATTAGGCGAGACGGCTCAGTGGTGAAGCTCTTGTCATGCAGGCTTGAGGACTGAGTTCAGATCCCCATCCACGTAAAACCACCTGGGTACAGCTACATACATATGTAACCTCAGCACTCAGGAGAGAGAATGGGAGGTAGAGACAGGCTAGAGCTCACTGCACAGTCAGCTAAGGGGCATCAGTGTGCTCCAGGTTCACTGAGAGACCCTGTCTCAAAAACTAAGGCAGAGAGAAATAGCAACAGAGGAAAACACCGAATGCCAACCTCTGACCTCCACACCCATGCACACAAAACATGGAGGAGCACCTATACACACAACCACATACACAAATATACACAGAAAAAAATAACTGGAGTCTATGGACTGTCAGCCTAGCTGTTTGTTTTTCACTCTGTTGAGATAAAACTCCTACAGGACAAAGCTAGCACAAAAGCACAAGTCAATGGATTTTTTCCTGACAGTTACAGATGTGAAACCATGACAGTCTAAAAGTCTACAAGATCTGTATCACCCCTGAAACGCCAAATCATTACGGTCACTGCCTTTTGCCCAACCTCTCAGTCCCAAGCAATGATTATCAACTAACAGTCTCTTCTATCTCTGTCTGTCTCTCTCCCCCTCTCTGTAGTAAGTATATGCATGTATATATGTTTGTGTGTGGACACGTGTGTAGAGGCCAAGGTTAAGATGAGGTGTCTTCCTCAGGCTCTACCTTATTTTTTGAGGCAGGATATCTTACTGAATCTGGAACTCACGAATCTGGCCAGACTAGCTGGCCAGCAAATTCTGGGGATCCACCCGTCTCTGTCTCCCAGCACTGGGGTAACAGGCACATGCTGCTGTGCCCAGTTTGTTTGTGTAGGTGCTGAAGATTCAAGCTCATGTCCTCATGCTTACATAGCAAGAACTTCACTACTACTTCCTGCCTTTACAGTATATATTGTATGGTAATTGAATACACTGATTAGGAAATAAACACTGGGGTTGCTTCCATCTTTTGACTACAAGATATACCTACGAAACAGAATTGCTGGATCACATGTTAACTTCTGCATCTTTCACCAATATACTATGGTTTTGGTTTTTGTTTTTGTTTTTGTTTGGTCTTTTTGAGGCAGGGTCTCCCTATAGCCCCAGCTGGCCTGGAATTCACCATGTAGGCCAGGCCTTGAACTTTCCGAGATCTGCCTGCCTCTGCCTCCTCAGTGCTGGGATTAAAGGCATGCACCACCACACCCAGCAACAACATACTATGGTTTAAACTTTTATTATTACTATGTGTTTGAGAGAACATTTATATAACATATATATGTGTGCAGGCGTATACATGCCATGGCATGCATGTAGAGGACAACTCTGCAAGTGGATTCTGTCCTCCCACCTTCACATGGGTTCCAGAGATTGAGATCAGGTGGTCAGGATTCCATAACAAGCAACTTTACTCAGTGAGACATCTCATTGTCTCCCATACCTCAGTTTTTATTACATAAGTCTTGCACATCTTTCCTTAAATTTATTCATATTTCAAACCTTTTGAAGTTGATACTATAAATGGTATTTACTTTCACTTTCAGATAAAATTATATAAAACTATTATTGAACCTCATATACTGATCTTCTATCCTACAATGTTGCTGGATTTTAGTTAATTTGATTAGATAGTCCATACATTCTTTAGGATTTCCTGCTCTGACAGAGATAGCTAATTTGGATACTGTTCATTTCATTTTCTCTAACTTCCCTAACTAGAACCTCCAGTACAAAGCTAACTAGAAAGGCAAGAGCACACGTCCTGGCCCTACACATGATCTTAAGGGAAAACTTTCAGCCCTCTGACATCACGTGTGTCAAATACGGGTCTGCACAGATACTTTTATCAAACTAAGGAAATTCCCTTCTACATTTAATTTGTTGAGTGTTTTTTTTTTTTTAATCATGAGTTTGGATTTTGTCAAATATCCTTTCTGCATTTACCAAGATAACAATGTGCTTCCTACTCCATATTTTATTGATACAGTATATTATATCAACAGATTTTTAAAACAGTTAACCAGCTTTTCAAATCGGGGAGAAATCCTATGTATGCTGTGTAATCTTCTTCATATGATCCTAAATTGGTTTTACCAGGATTCTGTTGAGGATTTCAACATCTATGTTCAGAAAGGTTTGTCAGTAATTTTCTTAGATGCTCTCCGTCTAGGGGCTAGAGAGATGGCTCCACTCGCTGCTCTTGCAGAGGACCTGGGCTCAGTTCCCAGCACCCACATGGCAGCTAACAACTGTCTATAACTCCAGTTCCAGGAGATCCAGTGCCCTCTTCTGATCTCTGCCGGCGCTGCGCAACATGGGTATATTTACATACATGCAGCTAATATACTCATAAACATAAAATTATAAAATAATTTTTTAAAAAGCTCTCTCTAGTTTGGGTCTGAAAATAATAGTAGCCTCAGAGAACGAGGCTATATTTTTATCAATAAAATTTATTGGAACATAAACATGTCCACTCATTTTCTTATTTTTTAGGGCTCCTTTCACATAACCAATGGCAGAGCTCAACAAGTACAAGAGAACCCACATGGCCTGCAGAGGCTAAAACAGTTATCCTAGAGAAAATGCTTGCTGACACGTGAAATGAATGCAAGGCCCCTCCACAGCTCATATTTCCAAAACTGAAATCTCGAAGTAGTGACGCACACACATCTGGCCTAACTTCCCTTTTCCATTGCTCACATCCCATAAACAGCCACGGGACAAAGGTTTATTAGGAGCCACCAGGTCTGAAAGCTCAGAAGAGACACGGGAGATTATTCCCTCTGTTAACAATGTGACTTGAGGGGCAAGTCACAGGTTTGGATTTCCAAACATCCAAGTGACTGAAGAGAAGCTTTACAGCTGTACCAAAGGCTAAGACTTCTTCAGCAATTCACAGGACCGACAACATGAAAGGGCCTGCTCTATCTCCTCTAGAAATGTCAACACTATTGCTCTCTTCTCACCTTCCCTATTTCATTCTGTGGCACAGAGACATTGTTTACATCTCCCATTTTGTCCTCTTCCTCATCAAACAAGCTGAGAACAGTTTTGCTTCTACCCTTGGCGCCTTTGTCCAATGGAGATGTAGAAGAAAATAAATCAGAATGCCCGGCTGCTTCCTGATCAGATGCAGTCCAAAGTCCATCCTACAAATGGAAATAAGGAAAAAATTACATAATGACTGGAAATTAAAATCCTAACGTGGGCCCTCACAAGCTCTTCATTAACTTAGTAACTGCCATGTTGACATGACTCAGGGCACTACAGCTTTTCACTGGGACAAAACATTGAGACGATTTAGAATTTAGAAGCTTGGACAGACAGTCCACAGCCAAAGACAATGTTCCCTCCCTCCTACAAAGTGAAAGCATAGCTATAACCCTGCTGCACACAGGGTACTCACACACCTGTCATTAAATGGCAATCCTTAGTAATGAATCTACTTCCTACTTTTTAACTAATACACTACAGAAAAGTCTCAGAGGGAAATCTAACCAGCAAAACAAGAAAAACTGAAGACTTAAGATTGTTTAAGCAATTAGAATAATTTCTAACATAATCCTAAAATGCAAGTTGCCCATTCAATACTATCACAGTTCAGATAAAATACTACTGATTAAAAGAACCTCTAGTGCACATTATCACTAAGAAACAAAAATGACTCCTTCCAGTTAAACACCTCATTGACTGTTAAGCACATCCTAACTTCAGAGTGACTGACTAGAAAATCATGTTTCCTTAAAGAAGCACATGATGTCTGAGTATGCCTACTATGTAAAAGACAGCATGCTAAGTGATAATGGACCCCATAGTGAACAAGGAGCCCGCTCCTCTGAGAGTTTATATCTGACTGAGGGCCAAGGCAGCAGAGGAAGCAGCTTTCAGTCAAGGGTAGAATGGGCTGGGTCAGAGTAACTCAGGTCCACATGTGGCCTCTTGGAAGACAAGGGCAGAATGACTCAGGTATACATGAATTTCACTGTTAACTACCAGGAGGTTCCATAGGAAAAGTGAATGCAATGTTCCTCACACAGACTCTGGGAGATATTAAACCTGAGCAGTTGGACCTACAGAGCTCATAAAGTTAGGATCATTGTTTTTTAAACTATTTTATTATTTTTATTTTATGTGTATGAGGTTTTGGCTGCATGTATGTAAGTGCACCCGTGTCATGCAACATCTGCAGAAGGAGGTGTCAGATTCCCTGGAAATGGAATTACTGATGGTTGTTAGCGGTTACATGGGTGCTGGGACTCAAACCTGGGTCCTCTGCAAGAGCAGTCAGTGCTATTAACCGCCGAGCCATCTTTCCAGCCCCAGAGTACAGAAAGGTAGGAAAACAGAAGTGGCACACAAGAGCTAGAAGGCCACTGTTGACACAACTCCCCACCACAGCCACATAGAGGCCTCAGGTGAAAGACAGCAGACCTGCAGGACAGAAAGTAAGCGTTCTGGAAGAAAACACACTTCACTGGGTTCTGATCCACTGGTCCAGTCAGCATCAACCAGAAGTAAAGAGAAAGTGGTAAACTAACTTCATGAAACTGACATCTGAACTCACAAGGGAGGACTAGAGAACCCAGGGAAACAGAACAACGGAGAGAAGATAGAAAATACAGAGAAAGTCAACATGAAAAACAAGATGAGAAGAAGCACTCCAAGGGAGGCAAGTTGCACCAGGATACAGCACGACACTACCAACCAAGAGGAAGCTTGCCTTCCTGGGTGTGAACACATTCAGCTAGAAAATGAGCCTGGACAAGGTTTCCCTGAAGAGCCGGGCACAGGGTGTCTTCTTAGCATGTTCAGAGTTTTCAAATCTTTCCAGAAATGAGCCATTTATTTTCAGTGACGGAAAATCAGGAGAGCGTATGCGTTACAAATGGATTGGAAACCAGAGTCAGCATACCTTCTCTGCCACCTCAGCTGTATCAGCACTGCCCAGCTCTGAGGACGCTCTGGCGTCAACCTTCACCTCCACAGCTTTCTCTCCGAACGCTGCCTCCTTCTCCTCATCACTGAACAGCAAAGGTGGCACCTCAGAGTTGGTCTCTTTTTTCTACCAAAAGAGAAAATGACATTCACACTGATTGAAAATAAAATGTGTCTGAACAGACCAGCAATGTAGAGAACCAGCAAAAACCAGTCCTTTCAGGCACACCTAACTGGTGGTGAAGGAAGCACAGGTGGGATGGTAGGGATGGCCCTGACAGAAGACACCACAGGCGGGATTCCTTCAGGCTTGCAGCCAGCACTGCCTCCTCAGCAGACATTAGTCTGTCTCCTGACATTTCAACTGAAGACAACACTCAGTTGTCTCTCCCACTCCAGCAGGTGCTCTCTGCACTAAGTCATAGTCAGCAATGGTCCCCCCATTGTATCCGTCTCTCTGCACGCACCTCATCATCCCTGGCCATTCCTTAGACTTAATGCCAACTCCCACACTCCCAATACCATGTGTCCCTCCATCTAAGGTAAATTCTCACCTCTGCAGCAAGTCCCAGCTGCAGGTGTTGCCCAGGAAGGCTTTTTTCTGTTGAGTAACTGTTTCAGTGAATTAACATACTTCCCTCTCTACCCAGCCCTTACTTTCCTTTCCCCCTTATGTATGTACCCATTCTTTGGACAGGACCATCTGCCATTTCTATGGCCAGACATGGTATTTTACACAAAGCAGGTGCTCAAGTTGGCACACCCTTCTACCCATCTCCTCAGTTCCTTCTCTGCGAGGCTTAGAGATTAGGAGACTGAGGCTATGTGCCCCACCTAAGTCATCCACAGCCTGCAAGCCCTGAGGAACTAAGCTTTGAAGCAATGCCTGTAAGTTAGGAAGGCAGATGCACAACTATAAAAGGACAATACTAACTATAATGGAAAAAATTACAAATGAAAACTGGGGTAAGATGATTTTTAGTTATCGTTAGGAAGAGATCCTTAAAATGCAAAAATGATAAATGATTTCAACTTGAAACAGAGGAAGACTGAAGTTCACACATACACAGACACACAGACACACACAAAGGTATCACTGAGGTGATTAAAGGAAAAAGAAGCCTGTAGGACATGCTAGACTGCTGGGAATTTTAGATTCAATGTCCCCAAAGGGCTCAGGTATAGAGAAATTTGGTCCCTAGCTGGTGGTGCCATCTGGGGGAGGTTCTGGCCACTTTAGGAAGTAGGGCATCACTGGAGGAAGGCCACTGAGGATGCGTCCTTCAGGGTTAGCCCTTGTCCCTCCTGTGCCGTCCCTCTGTCTGCTTCCTGTCATTAAGCAGCCTCTGCTACCACGATGCTCTGCTTCAATACAGGCAGGCCCAGAATCAACAGAAACAGACTAAGGACTGACCCATCATGAGCCAAAATAAACCTTTCTTCTGTACTTTATGTTAAGCATTTTGGCACAGCAATGCCAAGGTCAGGTTTCCAGAGCTGACCCAGGGTAGCATTACAACTTGTGTAGCACCAACTTTACAGGCATTTTCTGGGTCTAAGATATTGAATACCACTGCTGCAGACGAAACAGTCACCGGAGGAGAGCCAAACAGAGAGCTTCCACTATCGGCGTCATCTTCAAAGAGGAGTGATGCTCGCTGAGTCTTCTTTTGGCTGTATGAACAAACAAAAGATCAAACTCAGGGCAAACATGATTTTAAAACAAACGCGAGGTGTTCTCTCGGCCTCATCTACGGTAAACCACCTACCTCCACGTGTTGGCTTTAACCAGTTGAATTGAGATGGGAGAAAGAGTTGGGTAGATATATTTGTCTCAAACAAACAAACAAAAAAATTTACTTGAAAGCTATCACCCGACTCCAGTCAAAATGGCTGTCATCAAGAAATTTGAGAGCATGGAGCTGGAGAAATGGATCAGCATTAATTAAGAGTATTGGCTGCTCCTGCAGAAGACCCGGGTTCAATTATCAGCACCCACATGGCAGATAACAACTGTCCATAATTTCAGTTCCAGGGGAATTTGACGCCCTCTTCTGACCTCCGAGGGCATTGCACAACACGGGTGCACTTACATACATGGAAGCAATACACTCAGATACATAAAATTAAAAAATAATAATAGAATATTTTTTAAAAAAGAAATCCGACAGCAAACATTGGAGAGGACATGGGGAAAGAGGAGCCCTTATTCACTACTGGTGAGAGTGCAAATTAGTACAGCCATTATGGAAATCAGTTTGGAGGATCCTCAAAAAATTTAAAAAAGAATTACTATACAACCCAACTATCTCACTCCTGGGCATATGTCCAGAGAATTCCATACCTCACCATAGAGATATGTGTACCCAATGTTTATTGCTGCTGTATTCATTGTTTCAAAGAAATGGAACCAATCCAGTTGTTGACAGATAAATGGAAAATGAAAATCTGGGACCTATATAAAATGGAGTATCATCCAACTCTAAAGAAAAATTAAATCACAAAATTCACAGGAAAATCGATGGACCCAGACTGTATAATTCTGAGAGGTCAGCCAATCTCAGAAATTTTAAAACTGCATTTTCTCCTTTATATGCAAATCCTAGCATACAATGTATACATGTACATATGTAAACAGATGCATATGTGGGTATACTATTAATTTTTAGAAACAACAAGAAAGGTAATTTTTTAAAGGCATACTAATGAGTTCATATACCTAATACACTTCATGTAGATCCTTTGAATCCTATCTCAAGATATAACACATTTTAACACAAAATTAGTCCTGTTTGGATGATTCCAGGAGAGGCTGTTACCTTACAGGGAAATCTGAATTCTACGCCTTTTTCTTTCTTTGATTATTTCTGTATATTGTCGGGGCAGGGGTTGTAAATATTAATAAACTTTTAAAAAGTATAAGATTTTTTAAAAATATTTTTAAGGGGCTGGAGAGATGGCTCAGCACTTAACAGCACTGGTTGCTCTTACAGAAGAATAGAGTTTGGCTTCCAGCACATACATGGTGGCTAACAAGCATTTGTAACTCCAGTTCCAGGAGATTCAATGCCTTCTTCTGACCTCCAAGGGTATAGCACATATAGATACACTTAGAATACATGCAGGTAAAACACTCATACACATAAGATAAAATCAGTAAAAAGAAGTTTATCTGCGTCTGGGTTACCTCACTCAGTTTAACAGTACCATCCGTTTATTTATTTATCTGCAAATTTCATGATTTCATTTTTCTTTACTGCTGAGTAGAACTCATATCAGTTTTCTTCAAGGACTAGCTCCCTGAGAGGTTATGTGATTTAGGGACAGGCACCACTAAATGGACTCAGTGCATTATGTGTGCGTGTGCGTGTGTGTGTGTGTGTGTGTGTGTGTGTGTGTGTGTGTGTATTTATAAATGTATGGAAATAACCAAAGAAGAGGACAAACACTAAGATCAAGTGGGAAACACGGGAGAAGCTGGTGGGGGACCGGGCGGGATGGAAACAATGCGAAGACAATATTCATGTATGAAATGCTCAAAAATAGAAAAACCAAAAATTAAAAAAAACAAAAACAAGAGCTTATGTTTTTTAATTTAGAAAAAAATATTTTTAGTATACATATACAAATGTATTGTCTGCATGTATGTAAGTGCACCCATGGCGGTAAGAAGGGGGATCCCCTGGAACTTGAGTTATAGATGGTTGTTAGCTGCCATGTGGATGCTGGGAATCAAACCTGGGTCTTCTGCAAGAGCAGCCAGTGTTCTTAACCACTGAAACATCTCTCCAGCCCCTAAATTTTTTGGAAAAACAAACAAAAGTGGCTATACCATTTAATATTCATCCACATCCTCACCTGTTCAAAGACTTTTTTTGAGCTCTGATCAAAGCTGTGAATTATTTCCCCCACACTAAGTTTTAGTGGCATCTTTGAGAACAATTGGGAAGTACAAAGAATGGGCAGAAAGCCTTCAGGAAAGTCAGGACTGTATGGCTAGCACCAAAACCTACACATGGGAGCTGTTTCAGATCAGTAGGTTGATGATCTACTATGTATGTCATAGGGACACACATGTGATCAGGTAATTTCTGCCTGGTATAGAGAATGCCCAACTACAGTGAGGCTACAAAGGGGGCAGATGAAGGTAGAGCCATGCCTCTTTTTCATGTTTGGATTAGAGAAGGCTTCTTAGAAGAGTGGACTTCTTAGCTCTTGAAAGAAGCTGGCCAGGAAAAGCAAGAGAACAATGAAAAGGAAAGAACGAAATGCTTTTCCCACACTCACAATGAGTGCTGGCTCTGTACCAGCTAGTGTCCTAAGCAACCCACATTCATGTTGCATCTGATCACAATAGTCCTGTGAGCAATGGAAACACAGGCATAGAGAAGTTAGGTCATGGGCCCAAGATATGGTAGGACCTGGCAGGGCCAGAATTTAGTGTCACATATTAAGATTTCAGAGGTTATATACTCTGAACCAGAGGCCACTGATAAACCAGATGTCAAGCAAGGAGCCGAAAAAGCAGAAACACTAATATTTGAGAATATGGCATTGTTCAGAGAAGTCTGAAGGACTTTTAAATCTGTTCAATAAGTAGTAACCACCCCAAGGTACAGGATTTCCACATTCTTCGTTCTACTACGTCCGGCTGAGTAATCGTTTAAGACTCTCCAGAAAAAAAGCGTTATTTGCAGGGAGCTACTCGGAATGCACAGCATACGCTTCACAATCCACCAGCTTCAGCTTAGACACCAAACAGACACCCAGTCCACCAAGGGTGAGTCTCTGCTGGCAGACCACTGCTCTGCAAAGAACCATCCTTCTAACACCATGTTGTTTAGTGCTCAACAGATTTCTACCAAAATAACAAACTTTTAAGGAACTTCAACCAAACTTTATGATCTTTGGGGTAGCTTAGAGAAGAAGCAAACATAAAGATAATGAGCTCATTTTTAAACCACTGACAAATGAAGAAAAAGGAGTATTATAAGATTAAAAAAATGATACGAGAGAAAGCCAGGCATGGTGGCGCACACCTTTAATCCCAGCACTCACGAGGCAACGGCAGGAGGATCTCTGTGCAATCTGAGGCAAGTCTGGTCTACATAGCAAGTTCCAGGTCAGCTGGGATTACAGTAGTCTCTGAAAGTCATACCTGGCCAAAATACTGAGAATAAGAGATTGCAGAGTATGTATGTGTCCCTGGATAGGAGTTCTATATTAAACCTCCGCTACCCAGGGCTTGGGACCACTGTGGAAGAAGGAGTAGAGAGCTTGTGAGAGCCAGGGGTGGTGGATGACTACAAGGAAACAGTTTCCCAGGTGGTTGGGAACCAGCCTATATGAACTTACAGCAATGGTAACAGTACGCACAAGACCCACACAAACTAAAACCAGACAAAACCCAGCATGAAAGTGGGGAAATGGGTAAGAAGCCCCAACATTAGCTGAAGAACTATTAGAACTGATCACTGCTGGGTGAGGGAGAGTTGCTTTTTAAGGGAGTGACACTAAACAGGCTGACCAGGCTCCAGTGGACAGGCTTGAACAGAGGAACATCTGGGAACAGAAAGTTGATTCGATAAGCCTTAACATATACGATAGAATGCATGAAATCCAGCACAGGGGAAGGGGAGCTGTGGAAGGGGGTGATGATAGGGGAGGGAGTCCAAATAAGATCAAGATGTATTATATGAAATGCATAACACTTCAATTAAAAAAAATAAAAAAGAAAAAGTCAAGTAAGACAAACTTTCCCAAGACCTTTGGACATGCCAGGACCACTGCACTCATGAACTCAGAGAAGCTGTGGTTGCCTGCACAAGACAGGTACAAGATCAAGCCAGTCAACTTTATAGCATGGAGTGGGAAAGAAGAGGTTTACAATCCGTCCCCCATAACTAAGGAGCTATGGTTCACGGCTTCCGGAGGAGGGAGAGTCAGGGGTTTTCTTAAGGGTATGATCCCTGGTCAGTTGACCATACTCCAGTTGATAGCCCCACTCAGAAGTATATCCAGCACACATGGGAGTCACTGGGTCATTAAAAAAATATTACCACCTTGGTAACCAAGTTCAGTTGACTGTATCTCCAGTACAGCTCAGAAGCCCTCTGCTCTATTATGTATCTACTGCCTTAGGTTAGGAATGCAGGAATTCAACACATCTTGCTTAAATAGGAGAAAAACAATTCAAAACTCAAAAAAATATTTTTTTAAAAAAAGGGTGGCCCCATTTGTGCATAAATTACAATGAGGTATCAACCATCAGCAAGAGAAGCACTGGCTATTTTGTACACAAAAACCTTTCCTCATTACTACAATGTCACCTGTCTTTAGCAATAGCAAACAGATCATCTTCATCATCTTCTTCCTCAAACAGACTGGTCTTTTTCACAGCCATGGCCTCCTGGCTTTGGCTCTTCCCCAGGTCCCTGAATTCTCCTTTGGACCTGCTGTCACTTGTTGCCTTGGTCTGTGAATCAGTAATATTCCATTGGTCCTGAAAACATAAAACACACATTAAAAATTCATGGGGCAGGGCTGACAAGAGGGCTCAGTGGGTTTAAGCACTTGGGACACAAGAATGAGGGCTGGAGAGAGGGCTCGGGGGTAAGAGCACTTGCTGCATGAACACAAGGACCTGAATTCAAATCCCCTACACCCACATAAAAAGCTGGGCACGGCTGTGCTGAACAGGGCAGAAATAAGATCACTGGGTCCTGCAACCATCCCTCCCCCTGCCCAGCTCCAGGTTCAGTGACAAACCCTGACTCAAAAGAGCAAGCCGGAACATGAAGATTGCTAAGGCCAGGGCACCCAATATCCTCTGAGCTGTGTGTCCACACAACTGTACACTGATGCACATACACCACAAAAATGTATCACATACATACACAGACACACAGATACACACCCGGAAGAATGGTAGTCTACAATAAAGGAGTGGACAACATAAATAGGAAATTCATTTTACAATGCTTTCAATAAATACATTAGCATGGCTTGAGATTTACCATTTGTCTAACTCATATGACACACAGCAGCAGTCCTTTAACAAACTAACACACAGTGGGGGGGGCACAGGACATACTACCTTGGCAAAGGACAACAGAGGCAGCAAGGTCTCTCTGAGCTCCTCGCTCTATCACTAATAGTGGACTATAAAAGAATGCTCTGAGTCTTCTCTATGAAGCAGGCCAAGGCACCCTCCCTGTACTAAATTCCCCCCAGTTTATTATCAGTAGGATCAGACTCTTTGGTCCAACCACACTTTTCCCCAACTAGTCACTTCTTTGTCAGACTTACTATAACATACAGGAAGGTTTCCCTGTGTCTCTAGGTTTTCACTTTTACAGGTTCCTTATGACCTAAACTCATCTTAAATACATATGCTTTTTTCCTTGCTATCTTTTGTTACAGGGGTTCAACCAGGATCCTTGGGATGTGTGGTGGTTTGAATGAAAATGTCCCCCAAAGGCTCTAAGTATTTGGACATTCTTGTCCCAGTTGGTGGCACTGTTTTGGCAGGTCTTAGAAGGTGTGGCTATCCTGGGGGAAGCATGTCACTGGGGGTGGGCTTAGAAGAGTTCTTAAGCCTTGCTGGTTCTCAAGTTGCTCTCTTGCTTCCTGTGCCCACATGAAGGTGTGAGAGCTTAGCTTCCACTCCTGCTCCAGCCACCTCCAGCCACCATGCCTCCTCACAATGATGGACTGAAATTCCCCTGGAACCGTAAGCTCAAATAAACTCTTCGTTTTATAAGTTGCTTTGGTCAGTGTTTCTATCACAACAGAAAAGAGACTAATACAGTAATTGATACCAGAGAATGACCTGCTGATGGTGAAGAACCTGACCATGTGGGGGTTTGGAAGAATGTGGAAGACTTTGGAAGCTTCAGCTAGAAAAGTGGTTGATTGCTATAAGCAGAGTTTAAAAGGCCTTTCTAGTAGGGGCCTGGAAGAAAGTAGTGCTGACAACAATATAGTTCCAGAGGGAAATAACGACTGAAGCAGTAATTATGATATTTTGGCAAAGACTCTGGCTTGGAGTCTTCCCTTGACCAAAAATCTTGCCTGAGGGTATAATGAAAAGCCATGGACTAATTTCTCTAGAGGAAGAAATTTCAAGACAGCCTAAGGTAGAAATGGTGGCATGGCTATTAATTATGCAGATCTACAGTGAAAAGAGGCAAATAGGGCAGAAAGAAATACAGAATGTACAGTTTGGATTGAAAAAGAACACTAGGATAATTAATGTTAGAGCTGTGGAGGCGTGTACTGGAGGGGATCCCTTTGAGAAAGAGATTAAAGTGATTAAGGAGGGGCCTAGAGATTTGCACTTAAACAATGGAGAGAGTGCCTCCAGGGCAAGACCACGCCCAGTTAAGCCTCCAACTTGTGAAAGGAAAATGCTGCAGGGACCACTGAAGAGAAAAGCGTCTAAAATGGATAAAGCAGGCTGGAGTCCATCCCAAAATTGCAGCCAAACTTTGGTGCTGGCTTTAGAGGCACAAAAGATGTGAGAGTGAAGGGGTCATCGGTTCATTCTCTGAGGTTTCAGAGAGCCTGGTTTCAGAAGGCCGCTGAGGACAGACAGCATGCAGCAGGTGTGACCCTGCATAAAGAAGGCCCTCATAGGCCATTGCATGAAGCTGTGAAGATAAAGCCTGGCTGGCAATGGAGACCACAAGAAGACACTCATGATGCCAGAGCTGTGAGGCATCTGCCAAGACCTGCATAGAGGGAGTGGTACCAGCCCAAGAGAAAGATGTATGTTGCACACAGCAAAGCTAGAGAGGCTGAGCCACCAAAGCCTTTTGGAAGTAAAGTCCCAGAAGTCAAACATGGAGCTGCTGGATTTGGTGTTTGCCCTGCTGGTTTTCGGTCTTGTTTTGGTCTGGTATCTCCTCTATTCCTCCCTTTTGGAATGGTAATGTGTATTCAGTTCCACTATACTGGGAGTATGTGATTTTTCTTTTGATTTTACAGGGACTTACAATTAAGCAATTACAAGAGACTTTGGACTGTGGACTTTTGAATAGTATGAGGCTGGTAATGACTATGGGACCTTTTAAGGTTGGACTAAATGCATTTTGCATTTCATATGGTCACAAGCCTACAGGGGCCAGGGGGTGGAATGTGGTGGTCTGAATGAAAACGTCCCCCATAGGCTCCAAGTATTTGCACTTTTTGTTCCCCAGCTAGTGGCACTGTTTGGGGAGGTCTTGGAAGGTATGGGCATGCTGGAGGAAGCACGTCACTGGGAATGGGCTTACAAAGTTCTTAAGCCTTGCTGGATCTCAAGTTTCTCTCTTGCTTCTTGTGCCTGCTTGAAGATGTAGAGCTTAGCTTCTGCTCCTGCTCCAGCCACCTCTAGCCACTATGCCTCCCCACCATGATGGACTATAATTCCCCTGGAAGAGTAAGCTTAAATAAACTCTACCTTTTTTAAGCTGCTGGTCAGTGTTTTTATTACAGCAACAGAAAAGTGACTAATACAGGATGGGAGCCATATTTGCTCCATTTTGAAAGCATTAATGTTTAAATTTAACACATTACACTAAATGTCTTTCTTTTAAAGATATAATCTTGTAAACACCATCTTTGGTGGCTCACACCACCGAATATAAAATAGAAAGAGAAAATGTTTAGGACAATTCTGACTCTTTTTTTTTTTCTTGTAAGTTTTTATTTTTAGTGTATGAGTGTTTTTCCTGCATGCATGTAAGCATACCATGTGTACGCAGTACCCATGGAGGTCTGAAGAGACTGTGAGATCTCCTGGAAATGGAGACGGTTGTGAGCTGCCCAATGTAGGTGCTGGGACCTGAACTCAGGTCCTCTGCAAAAGCAGTAGATGCTTTTAACCACTGGGCCATTGCTCCAGCCTGACAATTCTGACTCTTAATTCCCATTAAATATATTCTCATTTTCAGATAAAACCTTCACCTACCTCTTCATCACTGCTGAACAACAAGGCAGATGCTTTCTTTTTGGATTGTTCTGAAGGTTTGGGTTTCTCTTGACTCTGAGCTGGTAGAGATGACGTCTGCTTTTTAGCAGTCACAGTCCCAAAAAGATTATCCTAAAAGGATAAATGACAGAAAAGCATGGAAAGGTATCACAGCTTCATATACATGAGACACAAGTGGGACATTTTCCCATGTCACACGAAGTCAATCTCCATGTCAGTCTCCCAGTAGGAACAGAATGTAACATGTTTGGGGAAAACAACTGCAAAACGTGTACACAGTCTACAACCTTTTCCAATTGCACTCCCTACCCACAGAAGGAAAACAAAATTGGCATAGAACTAAACAAAATGCTTTCTATTTATTTTGCCATTATTTTTCATGTGTGCATACATGTGGACATGTGAGGGTGGGTGCACATGTGGCATGTGCATAGAGGTCAGAGGACAACTTAGAGGAGTTACCATAAAGCTTGGGGCAGAGCTTGAGAGAGCAAAATGTAAACAATGTAAGGAGAGGATGGCGAACACATCAGGAGCACCAGGAGCCCCCTTTGGTGGCCCCCGCCTGGTCCTCCTGTGGTCATCAGAGTCTCAGCAGAAGCCAACAACTTACACATCTCTTTCTATGAATTAGAAACTAAAATTAACAGAAAGGATAAAGGAGAATTTAGAGCCATGAAAGATAAAGAAGGAATGAATGAATGATTTCTACTTAATTTAAAATAAAGAATACAAAGTAAAGGAATAATTTACTAAATAAAATAACTGGTATCCCAGGGGCTCGTCCTTATAGGTTCAATGACATTTGTAAATTCGTGTATAGTCAAGCACTCAAAAAGTACCAATTACATAGTGAGTGTGGTAGTGTGCTCCTGTGATCACAGGACTCATGAAGCTGAGAGGCAGGAAGACCACAACTTTGCAGCCAGCCTGGGCTACAAATACAGTTCCAGGCCAGTTTGGGCTGCCTAGCAGATCCTGCCCAAACTTCCACCCCACCAAGAATTCTGTTACGTGCCTACTTTCATTAAGGTAATGGGAACAAAGCCATCAGATGACTCGTTTGGTTTATGAATGGAGAAATCTTAACATTATATACTAGAGCAGTGGACAGTCCTGCACCCAAGACCAATCAAGAAGGTCTATAAGGAAAGCATGGTAAGGCAGGAAGACCACAGAACAATGAGCTGGAGTCCAGTGGGGTACCAGTGACCACAGTGAACATTCACCATGTACTCACCACTGTACCAACCACTGTGCAAAGACTTGACATAGGTATTTATCTGCTACAGTGATCCTAGTGATCTTTAACCTCTATGAGATGGAGGAGTTTAGGATACCTGCAGAAGGTCCAGGTTTGCAGTGATGGGGCTGAATCTGAGGCCACAGGCACAAAACTCAGCCACTGCACAACACTGCATAAGGGCTCAAAGTTGGGTTTCTTTCCCTCTTTCTTTCCTCCACCTCTCTACTCTTTCCAACTGAATGGGAGAGAAAGACAAGGTCAGAACATGGCTGCCTTCTCTTTTCTACCCCCATACGTTATCGACGATACTCTCAAAGATCACTGGGTGTAAGAGATCTACCCTCTAAAAAGTTATTTCTCAAAGGGAATATAAAAAATAGAAAAGAAATCTATTTGGCTTTCCCTGATAACTGGGTCGAGTCTTACTGTCCTCTTAACTGTATGGTTGGGAAACCTTGGAGGTCACCAACAGAAAACCAGACATAAGCATGCTGTCCAGCAGTCTCTCTGCGATTTTTTTCTACTGTATGCTGCTGTGGCTATATAGCCATCAACACTAGTTTCTCCTGATCTATTTAATAATCTGGTGCTGCAATAACAACATTTACCTCTTCATCATCATCACTGAAAAGAGAGACCGAGGCAGGGAGCTTGCTGGGCAGAAGCGATGCATTTTTTGACTTACTCGAATTTTGTGAAGAAAATAAATCCTGTTGGATCAAAATTAAAAACTACTGGTTAGCAAGGTTTATCAGTTTTAAAACATTTGGTCAATATAAAACATTAGACTAGGACAGGATGACTGCACATGCCTGCATTTGGGACATGAGCATTAACCCTGGCTGTGTGTGGCACAATGGCCTGTCATTAGGGGAGAGTCACAGGATCTCTGGTGATCTTTACGGAGCCTCTGAGGCAACCATATCCCTATCTGAAGGGCATCAGGCAGGAGGAAATCCCCCACTCTCTTCTACTATACTAAAAACAATTAAAATGACTTCCTTGTCTGAAGAATCAGAGAGAAGCACACAAATTCTATACCGTGAAGCAGGCTAGATTCCCAAACTGCTGGACCTACACCTACCTTACTGCAAACATCTCCCCAGACAGTACATTATTTCTTTTAAATAAATTCCTACTTGCAAATAAAATTCTTATTTTAAAAAGTTTAAATAAGTTTTGGCCAGGCATGGTGGTACATGCCTTTAATCCCAGCACTCAGGAGGCAGAGGCAGGTGGATCTCTGTGAGTTCAAGGCTAGCCTGGTCTCCATAGCAAATCTAAACCAGCTGGGGCTACAGGGGACCCTGTCTCAAAAAGACCCCCCCCCAAAAAAAAGTTTAAATAAGTTTTGTCTAAAACTGTTTACTATTCTAGTTGAACCACTGCTATAAAACACTATCAAGATCTTTAAGAGTCTTCAAAATGTGAAGAAATGTTAGCTTAGACTGTAAAGAAAACTCTGTAAACCAAGCTGCAGGAATTAGAAACAGAAAACAGAACAACTCATTCCATAGGCAGAAAAACTTCAACTTAAGAGCCAGATAACTAAATAAGAGAAGTATACACTTTCTAAGACCTCTTTGGGTGATTTCTTCTATTTTTATTTACTTACTTTAACTTTACATGTATGAGTGTTTTGCCTACATATATGTAAGTGCACCCATATTATGCAATGTCCATGGAGGCTAGAAGAGGGCACCAGAATCCCTGGAACAGGTGAATACTGGGATTCGAACCCAAGTCCTCTGCAAGAGCAGTCAGTGCTCTTAACCAGTGAGCCATCTCTCTACCGTGGATGATTTCAGTCTACCACTCATCAGATGCAGAACTAAGAGTTCACTGACTGACTGGAGAACTCTTAGCAGTTTTCACCTGGCTCCATGGAGTCCCACAGGTTTGTTTACAAAGAGAGATCAAGTGGAGACACACGGGACCTCATGCCTTCCTGCATGCTATACACTTCCAAAAGGACTGGCTGATTTAAGAAAATCAAAATGATTCAAGCCAAAAATTAGAAAGCAAATTTCTACATTTTAATTTGACCTTTCTTGGTGTCTGGTGGAATAAAAGGCCATTCTACTATTTCAAACACAGTCTCCCCACCAAAGATTTACCAGGGCAGGCTTCCAAATCCACAATTTGAGACAAAGACAAACAGGAGGAATTCTGGTCCAACTCTTTACCTCCTAGACTACCTTGTTCTACTCTAAGAATCCCAACAATATTCAATAAAAACCTTTCACTCTGTGATGGCGCATGTGCCTTGAGTGGTAGTTTTAGTTAAAAAGCTCCAGTTTATTACACTCCATCCTCAAGAAATGAAGTCTGGGGGCTAGTGAGATAGCTCAGTGCTAAGAGTGCTTGCCTAGCATACACAAGGCCCTGAGTTCAATCTCCAGTATCTCATAACACATACAAAAATTGAGATGAAGTTTGTCTCCTGCCTCTAACACTGGGTGGGCCTTTGTGACTACCTCAAGTAGCAAATGCAGAAGAAACAGAACTGACTCCTCTGGTGGCTAATCTTGGTTGTCAACTTGACACTTGTGGCAAGAAGGAATATCAACTGAGGAAATGCCTCCATCAGATCAGCCTGTGAGCTTTCTGTGAGGCGTTCTCTTTATTGGTAACTGCTGTAGGAGGGCACAACCCACAGTGGGCAGTGCCACCCATGGGCAGGTGATACTGCATTGTGTAAGAAAGCTGGCTGAGCCCCAGCTTAGGAGGGCAGCCCAGCAGGCAGCGTTCCCGGTCTCCGACCAGGAACTGAAGACGAAAGAAACCCGTTCCGCTCTGCGTTGCTTTCGGTCAGTGTTTTTTCACAGCGACAGAGAAGCAAACTAGGACAACTCTCAAGACTAAGTTACAAAGGACACAGCCTCCACCTGACACACTTAGGAATCCCACGGGGACTTGAGTCACCAGAAACAGGCCTCATTTCCCTAAAGTTGCCATGCGAGGTGACCACACAGGCACAGGGAGCCCCGGGTGCTTCAGTCTCCCTGCTCAGACACCAGACTCTCATTCAGTACGTCTACATTCAGCCTGGAGAGGCCCTCAGTGACAACTGCCTGTCTGAGTTCACTCAACCACGAGAACTGTAAGAGGAAATAAAAACTACTGAGGTTTTAACTACTAAACTTCTGAATGCCTTGTTTCACAGGAGTATGTAAATGCAAGTTTTCCCAGAAAAAAACCTGCATCTTCAAACCGAACCATGTGCAAAGCTATCAATTGATTAGAACTTCAGTGACTATGGAGAGTTTGGGATGTTGCAGGTCCAGAGCCTAATTATAGTTCATCTTGAGCTATCTTTAGACCCCTACATAGCCATTCCTTGCCTATCTCTGTGTCTAACCTAACAGCCTGTGACTGATAAAGACCTAGTTCCACCAACCCAGGGGCTAAGGATGCTGTAAGACAGCACCCGAGGCCTATAGGAGAACTCTGGCAGCTTTGCTATAACCCACCTTGCAAATGTCGCCACCAATATACTCAAAAAGTCTCTTGATTTATGGCTTTCTTTGTTTTGTTACTATAAAAACTTCATGAAACTGCTTCTTGGGGCGACCAAAATCCGTGTTCCTGGGCTATGGTCACTGATACTTCGCCCCAGAATAAACTATCTTTTATCCCCTTTGAGGTGAGAGTTACGCTTTTATGGTGACAAATATATAACCAAGGCTCCAGGTAAGTCACAGTAATTGCTCATACAAGTGTTTTTCATGTACTAGACAAATTACTGAGAGTAACTGAGCAACAGCAAACACTAATCTTGGTGGCTGGGTGTCAAAGAGAGACACAGGTAACAAAACCCTGTCTCTGAGGTGTAATTGGAGGTAAAGACAATGGGGACGGGGACGGGGGGTGGGGGGGCTCAGTGTTAAGAGCACATACTGCTCTTACAGAGGACCAGAGTTTGGTTCTGAGGACCAAGGTTGGGCGACCCACAAGCAGCTCACAACCACCTGTAACTCTAGCTTCAAAGCCTCTGATTCCCTCTTCTGGCCCCTCCTGCTGTGTACCAATTTCCTCCTAGGTAAAACAGGATGTTCTAAAGAAAGGTAAACAGGGTGTTCCTAAGGAGAGGTGAGATATTCCATCCTGCAGGGGAGCTCTTTAAGCTCTTCCCCAAGTCCCTGGAACTGACCAGATACACACACACACACACACACACACACACACACACACACACACCCTCTGCACAAGCATATATAAAAGGTAAGGACTGCTGAGAGTGAGAGACAGCCTCCACAAACTGAGCTGCCTAGAAAAGGCTCAGACCAGTCCAGCTGCCTGAAAAGTTTAGAAAGCAGCAGGTCAACTGAGTGACCTGGAAAGGACTCTCGCCAACCGGCTGAGCTACTTGCAGCTATGCACTCCAGGTTTCCTGCTATCATGAGCTGTCACCCACACTGGGGTGGGCTTTGGGTGATGCAGAGCTCTTTGAGTCATTTCTGCTCCTGTAGCCCCTCACTCTTATTCCTATAAGCAACTCCAATGAAGCTAACTGGTTCACCAGGTGGGTTTTGTGTGTCCTTACTTTCGTCTGTGGCTCCCTATCTGGAGTGAACAGACATTTGTTCACATCAACCCAGGAATAGTGTCACATACTTCCCATTGTGTGATGTGCTTACAATGAGGCCAAGGCAGTTCTAGTGGGAAATAAACCAGGAGCGTGAAAGTAAGAAAATGCAGATCCCATCCTGCGCTGTGCTTTAGGGTTTGGGAGGCTGGCTTGCCTGGACTTTGGCTAATTCTGTATCTGTATTATGCCTTCAACGAAATACAATCCTCAAGGTGGTATTTGCATCAAGCATAATCACCACTCCCAAGACTTTTCTGTTCATCCTGACTGCAATCACATAGTCTACCTATCAGAGCTTAACCTAGAGTCCACAATTTCTCAAAATTTTATATAAATGTCTGCTAAATCCAAATACTATTTGTGAAGGAACTTTAATAACGCCTACCACATTTTCATACAGATCTCTGATCATCTAACCTTACAAGGCTGTTCTAAAATTAGTTTTGACAGAGTAGGCCCAAGGGAGTAAGAAAAAGAAGGGAAGTTTCTGAGACCCTAAAGAGACCAGGGCCACCACAACCTGTCACTGGTGAGGGAAGGGAAAGGCTGTGCTGAATACACACCACAGTGCAAACAGACTCGTTAGTTAGTGTCCTTGGCAATTAAAGAAAGCATCAGGCTGATTTCTATTCATATAAGCACCTTATCACAACTGTGGCTCAACAAACAGCCTAAAATTTATGCGTGCTAAACACAAAGCATTTTCTTCCCAGGAAATGCAATGGATTCAAAGTCCAAAGTTAAAAGTACTGCATATGTCTTGCTTTCTGAAGATTGTATTTTCAAGAATGTTTTTTTTCCAGTACTGGGGACTAAGCCCAGGATCCTGGGCATACAGAGGCAAACACTCTGTACCACTGAATTATATCCCCAGTCCAGGAGATGATTTTCAAAGTAAGAACTGCACGACTTTAAATAAAGTCTTAAAAAAATTTTTTTAATTATTATTTTCTATTTTATGTGGATGTATTGCCTGCATATGTGTAAGTGTACCTGTGTCATGTATTGCCCAAGGAGATCAGAAGGTGTCGGAGCCCCTGGAACTGGGGTTACTGACAGTTGTTAGCCTCCTGGGATTCAAACCTAGGTCCTCTGCAAGAGCAGCCAGTGCTCTGAACCACTGACCCATCTCTCCAGCCCCTTAAACCCCTGCTGACAGACTAGTCAGAAATAGTAATGTCACATCAATATATGAATATGCACAACCACGAAAAAGAATTCCATACCTCAGAGTCCTCTTCATCTGAAAATAAACCTTTCTGAGTCTTTGTTTCTGATACAAGCTTTGGATTTTTGCTAGAAGGTAAGGTCATCTATTGGGGCCCAAAAAAGAAAAGAAAAATGACTATTAGCAATTAAGACAGAAATGAATTTACTCATTCATTCAGAAAATGTCCCCAGCCTATGAGAAGGCACCAAGCCAAGTACCAGACGGACTAAAAATGTCCTGAATCTTGGTATGTATAAAGTCCACACAAATAATTAATGTATAAGAAGTAATGACACAGAACTTTTAAAATGGTATAAATTAAACAAGAGAGAAGAAACAGTCCCTGTAGAAAGTAACCTTCTCAGCCTGGACAGGGCCCAGCACAGTGAGACGGTACAAAAATGATAAAGCACAGGGCGCACGTGATGTACTCAGGAACAAAATCAACTGCCTAGGTCACAGGGTGTACAAAAGGACACACAGAAAGGCAAGCTAGCCGAGGGACCTACTGGATCTGAATGCTGACACTGTGGTGCTTATGAGGGCAAAGCAGGGTTGCACAGCAAGGACGTGACACAATGAGGCGTGCTTTACAAATGGCAGACAAGCCAGGCGTGGTGGTACATGCCTGTGAACCCAGCGCTGGGGAGGCTGAAGCAGGAGAACTGCAAGGTCAAGGCAAACTTGCACTAATAACAAGATCCTGTCTCAAAACAAAATGAAACAAAACGGGAGGGAGGGAGAGAGGGAGGGAACTAAAGAATCCATGTTCTCATATCAATATTAACAACGGAGGAGGAAGAACAGGACAGAAAGCTCTTCTGTTAAAAAAGAATGCTACCTAGTAAGTGTTGAAGAGATAACGCATTAGAAAGACATTCTTTTATGAGCCTCAAAGGTTTAAGAAAAGGTCATCAGCAGACGTTAAAACAAGAGTGCACGGCAGGCAGAGAACAGGATGCTCAGTGTCCATGCATCAGGTACACACCACGGTACTGATGACAGAATAAAACAGAACAGGCGGACAGGAAGAAAGGCACGGAGAAGCGGTTGCCTGAAAGCACTACTTTAACTAAAATGGCCAAACTGTCCTGAGAGGGAGCTAGAGGAAGGAGCTCTGGAGGCATCCTGAGAAGGGAATGGATATGTTGTCTGCCCACATTCATGCCAAAAATGCTTAACCAAAATTTAATTCAACAAGGGAAATTCACAAAGTGATACTTTCTACAGGACAAGTGGCTAGCCACAGAAAGCAAATTCAAAATCTCAAATACTGTTTTACATTGAACCAAATGCAACGAAGAAACATTACCTAGAGTCTGGATTTCTTTAAAAACAAAAGAAAATGGGCTAATGGAATGGCCCAGCAGGTAAGAGCACCACAACAATCTGAGTTCCCCCCAGGACCCATGGTGGAAGCAGAGAACCAGCTCCTAAAAGCTGTCATCTGCCCTCCACTCGTGCACCACAGCCCTCGGGTGCCTGTACGCACACACACACCACAGATGCACACCATATATCATACATCACACACACACCACATATCACACAATCTTATCATACACGCACAACACATATCACACATACCACACACCTCTCCCATATACACTCACATCACACACATATACATACCACATATACATCATTATTACTCATATATACACATCACACACACATATATCCACTCACACACGCAAACTAAAGAAAAGAAGAAAAAAGCTATACATCTGTGGGACAAGAGAGGACGACACAACACAGACTGCATATGAAATAATTTCAAATCAGTATTACACTGGGTGTCATTTTACAGAGCTGGGTGAAAATTTTAGGGCCAGTGGGAGCCATACAAATGTGGACAAGCATTAGATTCTCCTAGAGAGTTACTGCCAACTTCATGGCTACTGACAACGCATTTGGACATAAAGCAGTTTTTCAAGAGCCACTTAAATAAAATACAAAGGGAGATAAAACTACAAATTACTTGCAAATAGTTTTGAAAACAGTATGTTTTCAGAGAGGCTCAGATACATAAGATAGCTGGGAAAATCCTCACTATCAGAATCTGGCTGGCAGTTATTTGGCGGTTCTTTGCATTCTTTCAATTTTATGCTTAACAAAAACATAAAGAAAATATACGTCCCTCAGAGCCCCAGGGAAATCAGTATCAGAAGATGCCTAGATCAATGTCCCTCCCTTCACCCTCCTGTCTGCTCACCGTTTTTGCTGCCTTCGTTTTGCTCTCATCTGTCTGAGGCACAGGAGCGTCTGGTAGAGCTGCTTGCTCACTGAACAGATCTCCGTCCCCATCATCAAAGATACTGGCAGTGGACTTGACTTTGTCTTTAAAAAAGAAACAGCATAAAATGACATCAAGGTTAAGATGTTACTGCAAAATTCCGATAAAGAAGGGCATCTCGTTTCTTGATAATTTATACAGAAATACAAAGTTAAGTCACACCATATTCTTCCTTTGGTATTTTTCCCAGGGCCTAGCACATGCCTAGCTATGCCAATGAGCTACACACCCAGCTCATCTCCCTGGTACTTTCCATAAAACAAAATTAAGTAGCTCAAATAAAGTAGGACAGAAGCAAGTGGATCTCTATGAGATCAAGGCCAGCCTGGTCTACATAGCAAATTCCAGGCCATCTGGAGCTACAGGGAGAGCCTATCTCAAAAAAAAAAAAAAAAAAAAAAAAAAGGCAAACAAAAAATTAATAAAATAAAATAGGACAGGCGGTTTAACTGACTGACACACTTAAGTAAACAGAAGCAACCTGTATTTGGGATTGCTAAGGCTGGCTTAGAAGGTAAAGACCACTTCAAGGGGTTGTCAAGTCAAGGAATGAGACGTAGGAGTCGACTCCTGTTTTTTAAAAACCAAACTACACAGAAGCAGATAAAAGTAAATGACGGAACCTACTCCCCTGCCCACCCAAACAAGACAGAGAGTGGGAAGAGTTTGATATACATCAAGCTAAACCCCTGCAAGTCCAAAGATTAACTTCCATCACCAAGAGAGTAGTACATTTTAAAGCACCTGAGCACACGCCCTACATAATGCTTTCCATGGACTACTGAGGAAATCTTCCCAAGTCAACATGCAGACCTCGTTCTTTTGACTTTTTAATAGATTAATTTACGTGTCTGTGTATATGCCCATGTGTGTGGGAGTGGGGATTTGTTATCTGTGCATGTGAATGGAGGCCAGAAGAGGGTGCTGCCAGGTGTCTTACTTGATCACTCTCTGCCTGTTTCTTTGAGGCAGGATCTCTCCCTGGACCTGGGGCTCTCAGCTGGGAGCTAGCAAGTCCCAGTGATCCTATATCCGTAATGCTTACAGCTACAGTTACAGGCATGCATATGACACCCATTTTTCTATGTTTTCTTACATGGGTGCTGGGACCTGGAACTTGGTGTCAAGTACTTTTAACCTCTGAGATACCTCTCCACCCCCTCATTCCTTTAACAGCTTTGCAAAGCTCCACTAATCTGAAAGGCTGACCCTTACCTTGCTCATGAGTACCTGGGTGGTTTCCAACTTTTGTTCCCACTAGTACTGCTGCACAGAATGAGGCCAGTTTCAGTGTTCCAGAGATGTTTGTCAAGATGTCAGTTTATGAGAGCCCCTCAAGGTCACAAGGGCACCACTACATTCACTTACTGCCATTTCAGTCTGTCCAGGAGTAAGTGCACTATTTCCCCACATTTTCTGAAATGATCAGGCTACCACTTGCCCTCACATTTCCACCCCTGTCCCTGCTCTCTACACCCACCCCTAGGGAGTTACTGCAGACACCATGTTCTAACACATTCTGGCTTTTATCTGTTCCTTACACCATCTTCTCCTTTGTCCAACTGCTAAAAATTATGCACAGCTTAGAAACCAATCCTTCTTTTCTAGAAGAATGTCTAAAATTTAAGTCTTGCTCTTTCAAATGTGACCTACAAAGCTGGTGCTGTGATCAAGAGGAGACTGTTAGAAATGCAGACTTCCAGGCCCACCCCAACCATTCTGTTAGAATCTTCATCTGGACAAAAACCCTTGGGAGACACAACTGTACGTTAAGGAACAAGTGACTTAAAGGAAAGACTTCAACACACTGACTTCCATCAGAGAAGAGAGCACAGGGGTAGGAGACAGGCTGAAAACACTGCCGAGGGGGACAAGGTCAAGTACACCTGAGCCTTTTGGAAGACAGAAGAGATCATGGGAAGTAAATGACCAACGTGCAACGTTTTGCTCATATAATTTACTCAGGGCTTCTAAGGAAGTAGGACTAAGATTTTCTCTGTAATTTCAAAAATCAGAACCTGAAGTTTTGAGAAAAAGCTTAGAGGGGAAAAAATTCGGCTCCCTATAAAGAAGATAACTTTAGTAATTAGCTCATCTTAGTAAAAGACATAAGGTATGTCCAAGAACTGGCTAAACAGATCTTGGGTCCCAGGGGCGAACCTACGACTACTGTTATATTAAGCAGACACAGTATTAAAACGCCTCCTAATGACTTATTGCTATTCCCATAGATGAGTGAATCTCTCAACCCTCATCAGAGAAGCTTCTGCTTGTAGGAGAATGCAATTATCACAGAGACCCAAAACTGGCCAATTACACACCTGGTACAGAGAGTAAGAGACCGTGGAATGTTCAGCTCTAAATGGGACATCTATATCATACCCTTTTCCCGAAGGCCCAGAGATCTTTGTAGAAGAGGAAGCAGAAATGCTGTAAGAGCCAGAGATGGTGGGGAACTACTGCACATATGAACTCACAGGGCTTGGGACAGCACGCATAAGACTTGCTCAAACTCTAGCCAGTCAAACTCCCAGCATGGAAGGGAGAGGTGGGCAGGAAGTCCAACCCCTAACTAAGGAGCCACTGGCATATGATAACTGTTGGGATAGGAAGAGTCGGTTTACTTTAAGGGTGTGGCCTCCGTAAGTCAACCACGCTCCAGGACTAGTTTAACACTCAGTATTTGGGTAACACAATTGGACTCAATGGAGAGAGAGAGAGAAAAGAACACAAAGATAGGTAGGCGGGGAGGTAGTCCTGGATCTAGGGGGAATGGAGGAGGGGAAGATATGATAAAAATACATTGTACGAAACACTCAAAGCATTTTTTTTTTTAAAAGCAGAAAAGGCTGGCCTATTAGAGACCTCCAGGTTGTAGCACTATTTAAGCATAGATGAAACACTGACAGGAACGCCAACAAATCATATCAGAACTCCAAGACCTGAACTTGAGGAACTAGATCCCTTCTGAATATTCTTTTCTAAGTTCCCAGAATTAGAGATTGGAACAGGTACCAGTGTTGGAAGGTTTGCTACAGGATGCCACAAAAAAGTCATCATCATCATCATCATCGAAGAGGCCAGCAGCCGGTGCTGACAGGTATGGGCTCTTCTCTGAAATGGGCTGCTCGGGTCTCTGGCGCTCCTTCAGTGATGGGGCAGAGGTGGCCCCAAACACATCAGTGTCCCCTGTGGATGGAAAGACACAAAGCTATGAGCCAATATGGGCCTCCTGACTACATACACAGTACTCCCAATGAGAGCTCTTCATTCAGTTCAGACACAAAACACATTCATAAAGTGAAATAAACTTCATGTGCTACTGACAGGAACTGTCCCACGACACAGGATCGCCTGGCCACTCAAAACAAAAACTTCAAGGCCACTGATTCCCTTCTTCCCTTCTCCCTTCCTCTGTCCCTCGGTTTTTCCTCCCCTGTTCCTTCTTTTCCTCTCTCCTTCCTCCACATCTATGCCCATACATACCTCTCTGTGGTCCTGGAGCTGTAACTTAGTGCCTCACACATACTAAGCAAGTACGCCACCAGTGAGTCCCATCCTCAGCCCCAAAGCCAGTGAATTCAAAAAGGGTATGTAGCTAACACCATCAGTAGTAAATGAGCGTTATCCACACACATTCCAGTGCCTTCTAAGCTCCAGGCACCTTTTAATCCCCAGTCAGTCCTTAGAAGATGAATCTAAAATGGTGACAAAATGGAATCCATATAGTTCTTAAGAAACAGGACTGGGGTGATGGCTCAGCAGGTTAAGAGTGCTTGCACAAGCAAGAGGACCTGAGTTCAAATCTCTAAACCCAATATAAAAAACAGATGTGGCTATGTGCCCATGCCTATAACTCCAGTTCTGGGGTAAGGGGTGCAAGACAGAAGGATTTCTGGTGTTTGCTGGCCACCAGCCCTGCTTCAGGTTCAGTGAGAGACTCTTATCTCAGAGGAATAGAAAAGAGAATGGCAGCGTAGGGCACCTGTTCGCTTCCTCTGGCAATGGACGCACCCCCAACACATATACAAAAGAAAACAAATCCTCATACCTAAAAATACAGAAACAGCTCCTGCTGGGATTTTCTTTGCAGGTTTGGAGGATGGAGACTCTAGAATAAGGGAAAAAGTTATAATCTTTCCACACACACACACACACACACACACACACAGTAAGAAAGTTAAGAAAGCCTTTCCTTGTTAAAACCACATTTTTGGCAAGCATGGTAGGGCACACCTGTCATCACAGCAAACACACTTAGGAAGCTGAGGCAGGAGGATTTCTGTGTGTTCCAGGATAGTTCAGGGCAATCGGGACAAAATAGCAAAACCCTGTCTCAAAATAAATAAGCCTGCGTTCTCTGGAGTTCAAGCAACGTGACATAAGCCTGGCAGATTTTTTTTAAAAAGTAATTTTCCCCAAATAAGCCATTTAAAAAACTATTTGGGTTTTTTCACTTCTATTGATACCAGAAGCTACAGTTCCCACAGAAGGCTCACTGAATCCAAGAGAGCAAGCAGGGTCCCGGAAAACAGTGCTAGCTCTGTCCTTCTCCAGCTCAGTGAGCTGAACAGTAAAAGCAACAGCAAAAACCTGTGTGACGGCAGTGGAGAGCAGTCAGTAAGAGCAAAGAGGAACACAAGGCAGCAGGTGAGCCAACATGGTGTGAAGACAGGCCCCCAGCACAGAACACGGGGCACTGCCACCTCAAACAGCTAACTCCCAATGCCAGAAAACAACTTCAAATCTAATGGAATAAAAGGTTTAGGTTCTTTTTTTTTTTTTTTATAAGTACTTTCAATATTTTATTATTTTTTATTTTATGTGTATGCGTGTATTGCCTGCATGTAGGTAAGTGCACCCGTGTCATGCAATGCTCACGAAAGACAGAAGGGGCCATCGGATCCCCTGGAACTGGAGTTGTTGTTACCTGCCATGTGGGTGCTGAAATTTGAACCTGGGTCTTCTGCAAGAATAGCCAGTGTTCTTAACCGCTGAGCCATCTCTCCAGCCCCTAGGTTCTTTTATTAAATATATTTTATTTATTAATTTTATTTTCTGTGTATCAGTGTATTGTCTACATGTGTGTAAGTGCACCTGTGTCATGCAATGCCCATGGAGATAAGAGAATGAAGGAACCCCTGGAACTGGAGTTAAGGATGGTTGTTAGCCATCATGTGGGTCCTGGAAATCAAACCTGGGTCCTCTGCAAGAGCAGCTACGCTCTTAACCACTAAGCCATCTCTCCAGCCCCAAGGTTTAGGTTCTTAAAAAGTATTTTGTGCTTTTAAAAAATTCCTACAGGTGATTTTGATGTGTGCCAGCTTGAGGAATTATTGATCACCAACTGACATGCAAAACGCAAGCAGCATTTCTTTAAATGAAATGTCACTGTGCTAAGCTAGCCCCGCACAGCCATCAAGTCCTTTCCCTGTTTGACTTTTTTATGAATTCTCTAAAAAAGAGGCAAAAGGTATAATGTAGGTTTTCAGATGGCACTGCTGTCTATCCCATGACAGGAATTGGCAAAGACAATCTGCCTTTGACTAGTCCAGGCAAACACAGTTCAGCTGCACAATCGAACAGTGCTTGGGATGTTGGGCTTCCCATTAGAAGCAGCTACAGAAATGCACGGAAGCAGCAGGCAGGCCCAACTTCGACCTACCTTCACTAACAGAGGCTTGTGCTGGCTGACTCCAGGGTGCTTCTCTGAAGAGGTCACTCTAGTTGGAAGAAGGCATATGACAAATAATTTTAAAATGTACAGGTAAATGAGGCTGCATTTGAAGATTTCTGAGATGCCTTCACTTGAAAACTACATGTTTTGGGGCTGGAGAGATGGTTCAGCAGTTAAGAGTACTGACTGTTCTTGCAGAGGACCCAGGTTTGATTCCCAGCACCAACATGGTGGCTAACAACCATCCATAAACTCAGTTCCAGAGGAATCCAATGCTCTCTTCTGATCTCCAAGGGCATTGTACAACACAGGTGCACTTACATACACGCAAGGCAATACACTCATACACATAAAATGAAAATAAATAATATTTTTAAAAAATTACGTTTACTGTCCTCCAATACGTCAGTTGCAAAGTACAGACTCCAACAAAATGGACTTTTAAGTAATGTATGCTGTCCAGGAATTAAATACAAGAGGAGGAGGACAACAGGTAAGGTGAAGTCAGTTATTGACTGCTAGTACTCTCACAGCCTCTCAAAACACATCAGGACACTGTAGTTCTCACGCTGTGATTCTGAACACAAGTCCCCAAATATGAAAGGAGGAGCAAGAAGCCCCTTCTCTCTAACAGAAAATGTGAATTTCTTTCTTACAAACTCAATGACACCGACACAGGGATAGCATCACTGCACACGCCCAACTCACCTCCTCATCATCATCAAAGAGTCCCTGCCCTCCACTGAACAGACCACTTCTGGAGCCAAACGGTGTGAAGTCTTCATCAGTTAACTTGGGGGGTGCAAATAAGTTCTCTTCTTCATCTGACAAACAAAAAGTCATGTTGCACAGGGAGTGTTAAAATGCACTTGGCACATGGCCATGGCACGCTGCCTGTAATCCCAGCATTCAGGACACTGAGGCAGAAGGAATCCAAGTTTGAGGTCAAGCCTAGAGAAATCCAAGCCAGCATGAGCTATAGCAAGACCCTTTCTCTAAAGTACCAAGGCAGGGGGATTAATTTGGAACCCAAATTCCTGGGGTTTGCCTCCATAGCACATACAATGTTGCATGGAATTTATGTAATCATACTTAGCAAGGAGTATTTGAGAGCAGACTGATGAATTTTAGACAGCTCATGAAATCCCTCAAAGAGCTCTGCATCCTTGTTAGCAATGTCTAGAGAGGACGTGATTCTTTAGGCCAAGTCCTAGGACTTACTCTGAGCAATACCACTCAATTGCCACATCCAAAAATGGAAGGAAAGGAAAGACAAATGGAAAAACAAACCTACATGGACACAATGAGAAGACACAGATGCCACCAGATGTCACTACTCAACACAGGCAGGCCAGATACAATCTTTATTGCAAACATCAGCAATCCCTAGTTCCTATAGGGCTAGAATATTCTAGAAAGGCAATGACTACTTTTGACTAGTCATTCAAATTGGTCACAGGCATTTTTACTCCACACCCACCTTTCCTCCATGCTAAAGCAGGATTTTAGATGCTTTAAGAAAATGAATGGAGACAGAGCCTATTGCCAGCATTTAATGATACCTTATAAGTTACATAAACATGCCCCAGGCCAAACGCTCTAATGAGGGAAAGGCTTACCATCTGATGGTGTCCCCCTTTCCTTCTTCTCTTTCCTTGTCTTCTGAGGCTTAGCATCTGCTGAGAAAAAGATGACAAGCACCTCACAGTCCTAACAATACTTAGTTCATCCTCAGGACACAAATTCTTTTTTTTTTTTTCACTTCCTCCATATTGAACATTCTTTTCCCTAAAACTCAGTTTAATTTGAAAATCAGAATACACATTTTTATGTACAAAGGAAAATGATTGGTGCTTCTATTTAAAATCAAGACATAATGAAACAAAAAGTGTGTGTAGTGACGTTCCCTAGGTGGCAGAATAGATGTTTCTAGAATTCATCTTTCACAGAAGCATCAATTCAAACAAATCAGTCACCAATGTACAAAAACAGTATGACAGGGACTAAGGAATTGAGAGAAGAGACCACAGCTATCAAGCAGAGTGTAGAAAGAAGACAAGACACATCAGCGGAGATAGGAAGGACACTCAGCATTCTTGTGTTTGCCCTTCTCGAAGCCTTTGCACTGCTGTGAAGGAAAATAACTACTGTGGGTGAAGGAAAATAAAGTAATCATATATGTTTCCATTTCCATAGGACCAGGGTTGCCCTAGTTAAGCTTGGTGCCACCATGGACTCATGCTTAGGCTGTTCCAGTATCAGGCTGGACTCCTCATCTCCAAACTCTAGGACCACCATGTATATGGCCTGCTTCACAAGATGGAGTCCTTACTTATTATCAGAACCAAGAACCTCTGACTAGACAGGTTACAGGCCATAGGGGAACAGCCTACAACTATTATTCTCCTAAATAGACACAGTATTACACTAATTCCTATGACTTATTGTTATAAGCATAGGTTAGTATATCTCTCAGCTCTCACCAGAGAAGGTTATTTTTACAGCAGATGGTGATTAACACAGAGACCCACAACTGGTCAATGTGCACAGAACAAGCAATTACAGAGTTCTTAGCCAAAAATGGGACAACTATGTCACAAACCTATCATCCTAAGGCTCAAGGATCATGGCAGAAGGAGAAGGAAGACTGTAAGAGCCAGAAGTGGTATATGAATTGAAGGAAACCATATTGTCTGTACAACACAGGGAAGGTGCACGCAAAAATCCAGAGTACTTGTGAAAGCATGCACGAGACTTCCACCGATCCAAATCACACAAAATTTCAGCATGGATGGGGGAGTTGAGCAACACACCCAGCCACAGCTGAGGATCTACCACAGACAAACTCTTTACTCCAGTCTGTATTCTCACGACTCAGCCAAGAACAGGACACTCAACTTCCCATCTCAGCTCACTTAGCATGGAGCCTTACCCGTTGGCAGTGTCTCTGTAAGGCAGAAGGCAGCTAGGTCATGTGCATAGCAGGACTGTGCTCAATGAAGGAATTAGTCTACCTTTCTACTCTATTAAGTAACTAGAATGCACTGGATAGTATACTTTTGTTAGTCGAAATGTAAGAATAAACACTAAGCCAGGGATTCTTAATCTGCTGTCCATGGTTCTCTGGGTTATACATATTCCGTGCTTGTAAGATGTTGCACAGATGTGCACGTGTATATTTTTCTTGTAGCATTCACAGTGTCTATCAAAAGGTATTTAAGGCTGTTGACATGACTCAAGGAGTAAAGTACTTACCATCAAGCCTGATATGCAGAGTTCAATACCCAGAACCCACATGGCAGGACAGAACCAATTCCTCAAGCCTCTGACCTCTGCATACAAACCACAGCCTACACATGCCCTCTCTCTAACCCCCCACTTCACACACAATGAATAAAATGTAAAAAAGTAATAATAATAACATAGTCTAAGAACAAAAAAAAAAATATTAAAAACTCTAACTTAAACCTATCATGCCTTAGTAATTAGGGAACTGTACACTGGGTATGGTGGCCTATGCGATGATCCCAACACTCAGTGGTGAAGACAAGAAGGTCAGGAACTCAAGGCCAGCCTCAGCTACAAAGTGGGTTTGCAATCAACCTGGAAAACATGAGACCAAGGTGGGGGAGGGGGGAGCTAAGAACACATGCTAGTTAGTTTTTGCCAACTTGACACAAACTACAGTCACCTGAGAAAAAGTAATCTCAAGTGTGGAATTATCCGCATCACACTGCTCTGTGGGCGTTTTCTTCATTGCTAATTGATGAAGAAGTGCCCAGCCCACAGCAGGCAGGGCCATCCCTGGGCAGGTGGGCCTGGGCTATATAAGAAAGGTAGGTGAATGTGAACCAGGGAGCAAGCCAGTAGGTAGCATTCCTCTATGATCTCTGCCTCAGTTCCTGCCTTGGCTTCCCCCAACGATGGACTGTAACAGAGAAGTTAAATGAACCCTTTCCTCCCCAAGTTCCTTTTGGTCATGGGGCTCATCACAGCAACAGAAAGCAAACTAGGACAGAAAGAGAAAATAAACTCCATCCACCGTGGGGCAAGCAGAAAGCCCTGCATATCACCAACCACTCCATTACCCTGTCTTCAGAACTCACCTATCTGCTCCTCTTTCCGCAGACTAGGGACATCACCTTTGATCCGAGCCACCAGCTCATCAGCAAAAGACGTGGGTCTTTTCTGTAAGCAGAAGAGACCAACAGAATCATTATTATTTTTTAACAAATGAGTTCCTTTCACCTCTGGCAACTGAACAAAATCATGTCAACCCGACAAAAGAAACTGAACTGCAAAGAATTTTAAATTTTTATTTTATTTGTGTTTGTTTGCATGTGTATGTGCAGGTGTGAAAGCCTGCAGGTGCCTGCCAAGACTGGAAGAGGGCATTGAATCCCTGGAGCTTGGATACAAGTGGCTGTGAGCTACTCCATGTGGGCGCTGGGAACAGATCTCAAGTCCTCTGTAAGAGCAACAAGAGTCATTTCTTCAGCCCCAAACAGGACTTTACTAAATGGATATAAACACATATACTCTTGTAGAGCTCAGTTAAAGAAAAAGACTCAGAAAACATTCTCTCAAAATAAGATACCCTCACTTATTTAATTTTTTAAAAATACTTGTAATACTTGAAAATCTAGACGAGATAACAAGTGCACGTGTACAGCAGGAAAAGGAAGAACATTTGACCTTAGAACTCTGGAGTTGAATACATTCTCAATGACCCAACTTATAAAATGATTAACACTGGGAGAAGAAACTGGTACTCGTAAGGCAACTGGAGACACAGGGACATTTATCACTGTTTACAAAAGTATCAGTCAAGGGACTGGGAAAATGGCTTAGCGGTTAAGAGTCCTTGCTGCTCTTGAAGAGGTCTTTTGTCCCCAGAACCCATGTTGGTGGTTTCCAACTACCTTTAACTACAGCTCCAAGAGACTGGATGCCCTCTTCTGGCCTCTTCAGGCACCCTCACACACATGCATATTCATGCACAGAGACATACACACATACCCATAAATAAATAAATCTTTTTTAAAAAAGTATCACTCAAATTACAAATATGGGGGCTGTGGAGATGGCTCCATCCATAAAGTGCTTGCTGCCCGAACATGAGAAGCTGCATTTGGATCCCCAGGACCCACATAAAAAGCAAGGAGTGGCTATGCATGTCTGTAATCCCAGAGCTGGGGAAAAAGAGCCAGGAGAAGCCCTGGGGCTGGCTGGCCAGCTAGTCTAACAGAACTGAAAAGCTCCATGTTCAGTGAAAGACCGTGACTCAAAAAATAAGGTAGAATAAGACATCCAACATCAACCTCCAGCCTCCACAGGCATGAGCACCTCCACACACATGAACATGTACATGCAAAGAAAAATAGAAATGAGAAGGCTACAAACATAAGAGATAATAAGAAATGAATTTTAAGTACCGTTTGTAAAACCTTGCCAAGTGATAACCACACTTACAGGTTTAGTATTTTCCTCAAAGTCCTCAATATCTTCCTCCTCCTTTTCAGAGTCAGCAAAGAGGTCACCATCATCATCCTCTTCTTCATCAGTCACCTGTGTGGTACGCTGACCATGTACAACAGAATTACCAGATATAAGTCATTAAACTGAAAGGGAGACATGGTCCCTCTCTCTTTAAATCTCCTCCTTCCAAAAGGAAATCACTTTTGGAACACATATTCCACATTAATGATTCTTTTAGAACCTCAAAGAAATTATTTACTTTTTAGTAAGAATGTAAGAGCAAAAATATTTTTAAAAAGATACTAGAATATCCCAAATGTTCATTATTAGAGAAATATAGACAAATCTTATCATAATACAAATAGTAATAATTAAGGCCAGGCATGGTGCCCACACCTTTAATCCCAGCACTGGGAGGCAGAGGCAGGGGGATCTCTGTGAGTTCAAGTCCAGCTTGGTCTACATAGTAAGTTCCAGGCCAGCTGAGGCTAGAGGGAGACCCTATCTCAAAAAGACAAAAAAATAAAAAAAATTAGAAAGAATAGTAATAATTAAAAGGGGTAGACTACACTATACCAAGGAGTGCTGCCCGAGGCAGATCCAGTTTAAAAAAAAAAAAAGTGCAGAATGATAAATTCATGATTTGTCACCCCAATACTGCACCATTTGTGTGGACACAGATATATTTGCAAAAACAAAGAAAAAGATCTGGAAAGAAACACTTCCTGATCATAATCCCAGTTACCTAGGGAGAGTTTACACAAGATGTAGATTGTGAGGCTGAATTCCAATTCTGCTGTATTTGTTAAATTCTAATTTTCCCAGAATATTATTCATGTCTAGTTTGTACAATTAGAAAGAATTTTTGACAGTTTAAATCAATAATAAACTTTGGCAGGCAAAGTAGTCTATTATCTAATTTAATTATCACAACTCTACAGTTAGTTGTGGCACACCACTGCATTGCACTTTTTGAAAAATGGGATGTATAGATCTTAGAAGTAAATTATACCAGAAATCTAAAAAACCTTCCGAAGGAACACTATTAATATTATAGAGATCAACCACATTTGTGAATTCAACCAAAAGAATACAAACAGCAATCCACAGCACAAGCTGCCATTTGATAGCTGAAAGCGTTTATAAACATATTTCCCAGCCAGGAGTGGTGGCGCATGCCTGTAGTCCCAGCACTTGTGAGGCAGAGGCAGGCAAATCTCTGTGAGATGGAGGCCAGCCTGGTCTACATAGTGAGTTCCAAGCCAACTGTGGCTACAGGGAGGCCCTGTCTCAAAAAGACCACACAAAAAAAATTCCCAATTATTAAACTGTATGTAGATTGAGATTATTTTAATATACCATAGCACATATAGGATAGCTGGAGCAAAACTTCAGTTGAGACCATCACCAAGTGCTGACAAGATTGTAGGAAAATCAATACACACAATCTGAAATTTAGAACGTCTATCATATACTAATAGCAAGAGTCATAAATGTACTTCTAGATCATCTCAACTTTAGGACACAGTTCACAGCAGCAGATTTCTATAAATAAAGCTATAGAAATAACCTTTCTTCTACACCTTAGATTACCCCAGTTAACAGAGCAACATGCTTAAAAATAGTATCGTTTAGGGCTGGAGAGATGGTTCAGCAGTTAAGAGCACTGGCTGTTCTTGCAGAAGACCCAGGTTCTATTCCCAGCACCCACATGGCAGCTAAGAACCGTCCATAGCTCCAGTTCCAGGGAAATCTGAAACCTTCTTCTGATCTCCACAGGTATAGCACGACACAGGTATACTTACACAAATGCGAGCAATACATTCATACACATAAAATAAAGATAATAATTTTTTTTAAAAAGTAACATTTAGGATACTCAAGGCCCTAGATTCAATTACCAGTATAGAAAAACAAAATAAAATATATACAAGTTTATAAGAAAAATTAAAAAGGAAAACACTGTTAATATAAAAGTGCAGGAAAAATATCTATTATGATAAGAATCTGCCCTTGAGAAATATACAAAAATTAAGGTAACTTAACACAGTAAGATTGATGGCTTTCATCTTATGAACACTCATTAATGTTTCTTTATATTCTTTCAATTTTCAAAACTCTTGAGATAGACTCATGTGAAATAGTTCAATCTGGGCAACTGTCTCCTAAGTTCTTTTAAAGAAAAATGAAGACAAAATATGAAGCAAGACTGGAATGGTGATATACAAAGGAGGTAGTTATCGAAATACATGACATGCTTAAGAGAAAACTAACTATGAACATGAAAAAAATCCTCAATACATTGTTCAACAGGCATTTTTAGGGTGCTTTGGACATAGTTGTAGTAGAAAGATTGCCAAGCATACCTGAGAACCTAGCCTCAATTTCTAACAGCAAGGGGGGTAATTTTAATATATACATGTTAACTATACTCAATTCAATAAATAAAGTTGAAAAGTTAATTCACTTTAATACATGACTGTTACCTGATTTTGATCATTGTCACTGTGACGAGCAAACTCTTCATCTGATACCTATGGGTGAAAAATAGTTTTGTTAACACTCAGACCTGTCTCTGAAGCGCACTAGTTCTCTATCATGTAGAGGAAAAGCCGATAGCCTTCTACACTGACTGTCAGTCACCTCAAGTACCAAGGTGCAGGCAGGGTAGATGATTAGCAATACTGTAAAGTGGTCCAGCTAATATAATTTTTGTGGTTTATTTAAATAGCTCTAATCATTCATTCATGTCATTTGTAGTTTTCAATTCTAACATTCAGATTGAAAGAGAGCACACCACATTTAATTAAATCATCAAAAGTAGAGGTTTCCTAGTTTCCATTTTGGAGTACGGTCTCTTTACTCTCTCTAAGTAGGATCTAAGTTGGAAAACAAACTTTATCAGGTTCAAGAAGGAAACATCAGTATTTGCTACCAACAATTTGGTAAGAGCTACACTGACAGCTAAAAACCAAGATTCAACAGGTCATTTCTAGTCTAGCAAGGTGACTGGGTGAGTCTTTTGTTTGCTGCCAATAGCAGATTTCTTTGCAGGGCTAGAAGAAGGGAAGGAGAGGGACAGGTAAGAGAACAATTACAAACAGAGAATCAGCTACACAAAATGGTCTCCTTATAGAATCTCATACTCGGTGTCTCCACTGTCAGCAACAGTAAGTTCTCCTTCTGAAGGAACAACTCAATGCCCCAGACCCTATACCAGGGTTTTGATCTCCACTGAGACACTAGAGGGTACAGCAAATGAACATGAAGTAGATGCTTTAAGCATCCTCTGATCAGTACATTTTAAAAAATGTTCAGGGCCTAGAGTGATGGCTCAGTGGTTAAGAGCACTTTCTGGTCCTGCAGGGAACCAGAGGTCAGCTCAAAGCACCATGTCAGGCAGCTCATAACTGCTTGTAACTCCAGTTCCAGGGGATCCAACGCCCCTTCTGGCATCTACAGGGAGCTGTATGCACATGCACGCTCATAAGCAAAAATTATAAAAATGTTCGTTGAGTTTTTTTTCTTCTCCAATTACTCAAGTAGGACATACTCAAAGACTAGGTTTGTACCACAATATCTCAGCTATTCTCTCCTCAGAATACACTGGGAGGTAAAGGAATTTCGTAGCAAGGAGGGAAGGTGGGCAATGGTTAAAAAAAAAAAAAATCAAAGAAGTTTCCCTTATTTCTATCTGTAAAATGATACAAGGAATTTCAATCTTAAGAAAAACACTTCACATTCTATCCCTGTTACATGTTTTATGGAAATAGTTCACAAGTTCACAAATATGTCTATACCCCTAGCCTGCTAAGCCCATTCTACGCTTCCTGTTCAACATGACCTGGTCCTTACCTCCTCCTCTTTCTCTTCTTCACTGTATCCAACACTCCCATGATCACTGCCTACAGAGCCATCTGTCACAAAAAAAGTAAGAGTCAGTTCCAATTTTACCAGAAAATCACCACAGTGCCTTCTCAAGGTCACAAACCACAGCAGCATCAAAAAAACTTTAATGAAACTATATTCCCATTTCATGGAATTAAAGCCATCTTTGTTATTATGACAGTCTCAAAGAAATTCCCAAAGTTGAAAATAAATGTTCATAGACTGGCCTGTATTCTACAAGGATGTCAGGTAGTGAAAAGTAAAGAAAGAAATTGTATCAGACTAAGTGACAAACAGTGATGGCTCAATGTCTCAGCAGGCATTTATCTGACCCCTGGAACTCATATGATGAGCTCCCATAGATTGTCCTTTGACCTCCACATGCATACCATGGCTTACATATGCCTATACACATATACAACATAAATAAATATAAAAAATTAAAATTAAAGATGACTAGATCAATTTAACAACGAAATACTCTTACGTTCTAGGCCCAAGAAGAAGACAGAGACAGTAAAAGACATTAAAGGGACAATAGGCAAATATGGTAACATGGTCAAAGATTAGGGAAAAGTATATAGCCCATAAATTTCTTGGTATTAGCCACTTCACTGTGGCTATATAAAAAATGGGCTTGTTCTTAGAAAATATACAGAGAGGTGGAGAGATGGATCAGTGGTTAAGAACACTAGCTGCTCTTGGAGAGGACCAGGGTTCAGTTCCCAGCACCCATATGGCAGATAACCCCCATTCGTAACT